GTAACATCTTCGCCATGCGCCTGCTCTCTGCATAACTCATTGACCGTCAGGCCCTTGGACTGTTGGGCCGTCTGGTTTACTCTGGCGGACTTAATGTATTTTGTCAGTTTGGTTTCCTTCTCCATTGACAAAGTTCTCCCAGGACTCCCATTTTTATACAAATCTGAACCCCCAAGTAGACGTGTCGGTCTGAAAATAGTGGAGGACAACAGCTACCAGTCGAGCCAGATTGCCAAGGTGCGCGTAAAGCCAGGCGCCACGCTCTGCTAGACAATGATCACATCTCAGTTTGCAAATCCTTTGGTGAATATAATCCTCCTTCCCACCCGTCAAAACCAACAGTTTACCAAGCTGCACAAATAGAAGGGGCAGCCTCTAGCTCACAAGTCCTCAAGAGCATTAATGATCGATTCTTCAATTGGAAACTGATACCTCTCCTAATTAAGGAAGAAATTTTAGTGAACAAAAAAATGTGATGCTGAGCAAGACTAGTCATCAAGCAAAAAAAAAAAATTCAAAATCCTATGAACAAAGACTCCAAAAACAATGTTATTTTCATTTTTTGCAATGAAGTCTTTTGTTTGTTATAAATGTTCATGTTTCTTTACGTCCTTTTTAATATCCCTCTTTTATTTTTCATTCTCTTATCTTTTATGGTGAAATGCCTCATGGATAGTTAGTTATGCAGGAAAAATGTTTGCAGCAAAAATGCTTGTGACCAGATGCGTCTGGCAAAGATGTTTATGGGAAACTACGTAGAACCGTGCTGAGGGGGTGGGTGCAAAGGTGGGTAAAGCCCCGCCTGGAAATTAGGAAGACCCATGATCTATGCCTACCACCCAGATGGGAGGCAAAGTGCCTCCTCCTTCAGGAAGCCCTCCGGGGTCACATGCCTACCCTTCCTTGCGGCCCTCGATGGGAAGGGGGACACGGCCCCCACGGTCTAAGGCGGAGGTGATGTTGAGCAGCTGGAGCTCTGCTGGCTCCCAGAGGCCCCCCAAGGCTGTGAGGAAGCGGCTGGCAGGGGTTGAGGGCAGCACTTCCTCCACGTCATGGCTGCGCACCAGGAACTCAGCCTGGTATGGCAGCAGGGGGCCTGGAAGGGCCAGGTTGGCACCTCAGGCTGCACCCAGCCCTGCACAGATCCTTCCCAAGCCTCCCCACCCAAGCCCCTCCCTCGATCTCCTCAGACTCCTTCCTTCCTCCTTCACACCCCATACATCACAGGCCCCAAACGCCCTTCCCCAACCCCACAGACTGGCGGCCAGCAGAGCAGCCAAGGATACAACCCCCGAGGCTTCCCAGGACGCCCTGCTCCCCACTTCTCTCCAAGTCTTTCCTTCCACACACCCCCTCCCAGGAGAGATCCCCCAAGACTGGCGTTGGTGGGGTGGGGTGGGCTGGGGGTGGGCCCGGGCAGGTGGTACCTTCTGGGTCCCCAATCGAGAGCACTAGCCTCTGCTGGGTGGTGTCGAAGCTGTCCCGGTTGTAGGCTACGACCTGCAGGGGGTGGGGAAGAGGCCAGAGCGGTGGGGTGAGGGGAGAAAAGTGGTGCAGCTGAGACCTGGCGGGAAAGGACTGCGCTATTACCCAGTTAGAGGCATATAAACCATGTACATGCACGTGACACCGCCCACAGGGCCTGCCCGTACCTCAATGACCTGGCGTCCACGGTCTTCTGGGGTGGGGCTCCCGTAGAGGAAGCCAGGGTGGCGGGGGCTGCGCTGGGTGTAGCGGAGCCACCGAGGCAGGTCTGGGTGTCCCTGGAGGTGGGCGTGGTAGGTGACGGGGACAGTGGGTGGGACAGCTGGTGGGAGGGAAGAAAGGGATTGGGCCCGTGACAGGAGCCTTCACCAGCCCTGGGCCAGGCACCCCCACCCGCCCCAGGTCCAGGAGCTCCTCTCACCCACGTGCTCAGGGAGGCGCAGGCGGGTTCCCGGGTCCAGTGTGCACAAGAAGCGGCCCACGGCCGCTGCAGGTGGTCTGCTGG